ACTGGTCTTCGAATTCGATCAGCTAAGGATTCTTCTACGTGCACGCCAACGTGTAATGCAAGGCAATGGGGTTTAACGTCCTTCTGGACTAATGAAAACGTTTGTACGCCATACAGTGTGCTATGAGGGACGTTTTGCCCGGTCAGTGGCGCTACGGCGTACTCTTATATCAAATTCCAACTGCCGATGGTTATTTTACGTACACGCCATCGTGTATAAGGGATCTCGGTTTTTCGTCCCATCTGAACGACTAGACACTGCCCTTGCCTGAACCTCCACCCTGCCCCATTGACTAAGGGAAACCAAGCTGGAAAATACCAACGTGCATCCCGGTTGAGAAGGGGGGGGGGGATGGCCGAATGGTTAGCACGCGCGCGCTGTATCATACGGTCTGTCAACTGGCGGGGTTTCGATTCCCCGGTTGTATGTGACAAGGAGTAGGGTCGCCTGTCCAAACTCGTGGGTTTTCTCCGGGTCCTTCGGTTTCCTCCCACTGCTAAAGACCCCTACGCGCAAGCGAATTATTGAAATAAAAAAAATTAAACCATATGTTAGTCTCGAAATGACCTAGTTTGTGTCGAGTGGGCGTTAAACCCCATTTCTCTCTCTCTTTCTCTCTCTCTCTCTCTCTCTCTCTCGCATCCCGGTTGACTTATGTTTATCGTATTATCCGAAACAAACAATTAAATAACAAGTTTTAATCTGACTTATGTAAGTTTATTTTTTATATATAAACAATATCTTAATTCAGATTTGTATCTGAATAGGGATTAGGGAACAGACATAGTCTATATTAAACCCCTCTCCCTGGGTTATTTAAGTTAATGTCAGTTGTACCTTTAATAAAAAGCAAACATTACAGTTTTATTTTTCTAAATGTCATAACCATATTATTATGTTAGCACAGGAACAGAGATATATTTTTTGTTTACAAACAAAACGAACATTAGAAATTTGAAGAGAACGAAATGATGATATCGGTACCAGAGAAAATGTCAGCCGACATGTAAATTGGCTTCATATAATCTAAAGAATCTATAAGCGGTTGCGGGGTGTATAAACGGAAATGCATTTAGTGGTTTGTTTGGGATGAAAAAATCGAGACAGCGTGAACTTGATGAACGTTTAATATCTTTAAACATACATATATGCAAGAGCTAAATCTGCCTATTGCAGGTCTTTCTTTAGGCCTGAAGTGTTATCTAAATTATTAATTAGACATTCATTAACTTTATCAACTCTCGATGTCATCGCTAGTCTACGATGTTTATTGGATTAGGTTACGATTTGCTGTTCGACTTCCATTCATGATTTAATCATGGAATGGATAATCGAGACTACGTTTTTATCGTACCGACTTTGGTAATGATGATCGAGGCTAAAATCTCGATTCAGAGTGGATCAATGTGACTGAAATTTTCACCAAATTCCCTTTACATTATCTAGTTTTTAACTATTATAGTGAGAACCGCCATCTCTTTATCTAATCTCACATTATGTATATATCTTTAACCAATTTTTAATTAATTTGTTGGCTAACACACACATATACGAACTGTTATTTGAAATCGAACTAGATATTGTACTTTTAGTTTTCCCATGAGAGTATATTATTGTACCAAATCATGAAAGCTAGAAACACTTTACAAAGTCTTTAACGAATGTTCTAACTCTTGCCGAATGTAACGCTTGTTACGCTGGCATGAGAAGTGTGGTTTTAATTGACAACTGAAGAAGAATATTGCTAGCCAATTGGGATTCAAGGAAAGGTTCACTTTCCAGATATACACGCAAACATTTTTCTACAATATTTTTTTTCATTTTACTTCGAATTCGTTGTGCTGATATATGTATCTGAATGTGTTATGTATTATATATATACGATGTTCCTGCTTTGTATCTTCAGTTTATGTTTTATTTGCTGTTATCCTGTATTAGATTTATTGGTCTCAAAATCTACGATAATAGCTAAATGCTGAACACAAAATATTCATTCACTGTACAATGAAATAAAATTGAACCGCGTGTTAGTCTTCCTTTGTAATCGTTGGTGTTCACGCAAAGGAATCCTTGAACTCCTTTCTATACGCTTCTGTCGAAAATAAATCAAAAAGTCAATGGAGCCGGATGTAGGGCACAACAAAGAAATGCGTCTAGTCCGAACGATGGGACGAAAAAAATCTACTCGTTGGTGTGCACGTAAAGGAACCTCTGAACATCTTTCTATACGCTTCTAACGAAAATAAATCAATAGTTAATCTGTACAGTTAAATTCAAAGCCAACAAACTAACTTCCCTAATTCACATACAAATCTATATAGAGTTCTCTTCCTATAGAATGGCTGTACAAAACTGATTTAATTCTCAAAACGTCGCCCCCTTTCAATCAATTCAGACATCGACCATAGAAAATGCTTACAATAAAACCACGTCTTTAAAATGGTAATCTGTAGAAAAGGCTAATTAATTTTTGATTTGAACAATTTAATGGAAGCAGAAGCTATGCACGTGAATACGATTTCAGCTAGTAAATTAGCTGTAAATATTAAGCTAATCAGAGCTCGCATCAATGATTCAATGACATAATACATGTATATGACAATGCAAAACGGATTACGTTTATAATCCTTTCATATAAAAGCTAATTACATTTGACTTGAATACATTTATACGTAGAAATATGATAAAGACAAAATGCAAGGATGTCGTATGTAAAACAGTATATATTTTCTACTTCTTGAACAACATTTATCTTGGAATTTACATAATTTCTTTCGTTCATTTAAATGAAATGAAATAGGATTTTATACTTTTCTGCACCGACTCGGCTAATGAGTGTGCTGTGAGGGACATTTTGCCAGGACAGCGGCACTACAGCCTACACGTACATATGCAATACAGTGTGCCACGAAGAACACTTTGCCCGGACAGCGGCGCTACTGCCTACTCTTGTTTCGAATTTCAAATATCAAGGTATCTTTTACGTACACACCAATATGTAAACATGACCTCGGTTTTAGTCCCATCTGAACAACTACGCGTTGTTCTTGCCAACCCGTCCGTCCTGCAGCACCGAGAAGAGAAAACCATCGCTAGAAAGCTATGGGAAACTTTCGTGGCCAACACCTAGGTCACCGCCCCACCCACTGGTTTCAGTTCAATCAACCACGGTGGGTGGTTAATAGAGAGAGAGAGAGAGAGAGAGAGAGAGAGAGAGAGAGAAATGGGGTTTAACGTCCACTCGACACAAACTAGGTCATTTCGGGACTAACATATGGTTTAATTTTATTTCAATAATTCGCTTGCGCGTAGGGGTCTTTAGCAGTGGGACGAAACCGGAAGACCCGGAGAAAACCCACGAGGTTGGACAGGCGACCCTACTCCTTGTCACGTACATCCGGGGATTCGAAACCACGCCAGTTGACTCAATGACAGGCTTTATGATACAGCACGCACGTGCTAATCATTCGGCCATCCAACCCCCGGGTGGATAATAACTGGGTTTGGTTTTATTCTTAAACAACAGATAATGCATGCGCCATTCCCTGTTTCTAATAAAATCATTTGAGCCCGGTGAGATTTTATTGTGTTTTAGGGGATCACGGTGGCTAAGTGGGTAAGACGCTGGCTCGCTAGCCTGGGGGTCGGGTGTTCGATCCCTGCATTGGCCGAGAAAGTTCATCCCGATTTTCCGGCGTGGTTCTCCCTTGTCAGTGATGCTGGACGGAGGGCCTGACAAGGACAGCTGTCTAGTCGTTCGGATGGGACGAAAAACCGAGGCCCCGTGTACACATTGGCGTGCACGTAAAAGATGCCTTGACAGTTGGAATTCGATATAAGAGTAGGCCGTAGTGCCGCTGTCCGGGCAAAATGTCCCTCATAGCACACTGTATGGCGTATGCCCGTCTTCATTAGCCCAGTTCGGAGCAGAACAGTAGGACGTTAAACCCCATTTCATTTAATGTGTTTTAATGCCTACACACTTCACAATAGATAATGTATATGTATGTATATACATTTTTCAATTCATTCTAGAAAAGAAATTAGTACGGTGAGTTAATAATACAGTACAGTTTTATTCTATTTAAATAAGGGTGCAGTTTATGCCAGACCTGTCTTATAGCGACAGAAACCTTCCTAACAATATTCCACACACTGATAGTAGTACAAATCAATGTGTAAAAGCCCCTATATACGTTCTGGCTTGTCCGAAAATAAACCCAGAGATAACAAAGTACTATAGACCAGGAACTGCATGACCATGTTGTTGGATGAAATTCAAAAATCTAATTCACCAAATCGATACTGAATTGTTCAAAGAAGAAGCATGCCAATTTTCATGTCGATCGGACTTAAATTGACAGAGACTTTGGCTTTATCGAAGTGCGTCTCCCCAAGAACAAGAAAGAAAACAAGATAAGTAGCGGTTAACGACCAAAAATCACTGATCACCTTCAGAATTACATACTTTCAGTGTTTTGACAAATATACCCGGAGGGATGGGTGGCCGAATTGTTAGCGTGGGCGCTCTGTATCATAAGGACGGTCTGTCATTGACAAGGAATAAGGTCGCCTGTCCAACCTCATGGATTTTCTCCGGGTCCTCCGGTTTCCTCCCACCGCTAAAGACCCCTTCGCGCAAACGAATTTTGAAATAAAATTTAACCATGTGTTAGTCCCGAAATGACCTAGTTTGTGTCGAGTGGACGTTAAACCCCATCTCTCTCTCTCTCTCTCTCTCTCTCTCTCTCACACACACACACACACACACACACACACACGACAAACAATTCTCAACAGCTAGAATCGAATTAAAACAGCAGACTGTGTTTTCTACTCCATATTGCACACCCAAATTGCAGGTAAATGACCTAAGTTAAGTAAAGACGAAGTTTTCGACTCTATGGCATTCCTTGGCAAAAGAACAGAGACGTCAAACAAAATCCAAAGGATGAATATGAGAAAAATGAACAAAAATAATCTTTGACACATGTACCTACCGTCGTTAAATTCTTAACTTTGATTTAAATTGTCCAAATGTATTAGAATAGTTCCTGTGGTCTTCTAACAGTGTGTGTTCTTCCTATCCAATTGAAACACATAAACACTTCTCATATATAATACTTAAAGCACTGGTGAAGACTAACTGTTACAGCAGCACGGAAATAAGAATTCTACAATTTTAATTTATATATCACAATAAAACATTATTTGGAAATAATAATAACGGATAATGATAACGGCACCCTGTGAAACGTGCTGTAAATAAACCGCAAATATTTATTGAATAATAATGTTTCACTGAATTATTCTCCCATACCTGTTTGGTTTAGATTCCTCGATCTTCATTCGACATCTCAGTTTCAAAAATCCACTAACTGCTTAGAAGAATATCAAAATATAATGCTTAATGCTAAAAAAAAAAAAAATCAACGCCTTTGGTGACGCTGATTATTTTCAAAATCACAGGTGAATATGGTATTTTTTGAATGAATGAAATCACGATATCAAACCACTATAACACATCATAATGATTATGCCATTGCCGAAACACGATTACTGTACGTGTCGATACAAAGTTTTAGATCCACGAAGAAGACTTTCATTCACAATAAATCTGATATATATACTGGAGTTAAGTAGGTAGTATCGTTCTAGATACGTTTATTACAGCTCCTAGCCTTGGTACCAAGCTTTTCTTACACCCCGTTAGTTACACGCGCTCTCCGCTCATTTATCAATAAATCCAAGTTTTACCATGTCTTGTGTATTAGCAGGCAGGCAGGCAGACAGCAGCAACAAGCCATATAATGCGAGGTGATATACAAGACATTAGAGGAATAACATTGTCAAGAACGATAAGGCTCATCCTCGAATTAAAGTTAATAAGCAATAAAGGAGTTGAAATGACGTCATATTTCTATGTTCAATATTTCTGAACGCGTCGCACTTCTAACGCTCTTTGCTTCGGACGTGGAGATCTGCAGGAACCATGATGTCATTACCGTTTTGTACTGAAATAATCTGCTGTATCGGTATGTTCGTCTCGTATGGCATAATAATCTCCTGACATTCAGACGACGATCAGCTAATTTCGAAATAAATCCTTGGTTTTATTGATATTACAATGGCGTGTTGGGGCCATGAAATAAAAGAACGAACAAATCCTAAATTAAAATCATTAAACCCTCCTTATACATCTATTGATTTCGTTTTATATTAAATCAATTCACTAAACGCATGTAGTTAGATGAATTCGGGCCCATTTGCGAGGAAATATTAAAATTAATACATTAGTCACTTTTTTGAATGTAGCTTTGTGGCGGTAGACAGCACCACGTCAAATGTGCAATAATTCTGAAAAAAACCCACCCAAAAACCTGGAACTGGAACAATAATTGAATCCTCGTTATGACCAACCGAAAGTTTGAATATAATATAATATTTAAATAGTACCGCGTTTTCCTCTATCCGTAAGGGGGGTTGGATGCCCGAATGGTTAGCACGTGCGCGCTGTATCATAAGGCCTGTCATTGAGTCAACTGGAGTGGTTTCGAATCCCCGGTTGTACGTGACAAGGAGTGGGGTCGCCTGTCTAACCTCGTGGGGTTTCTCCGGGTCCTCCGGTTTCCTCCCACTGCTAAAGACCCCTACGCGCAAGCGAATTATTGAAATAAAATTAAACCATATGTTAGTCCCGAAATGGCCTAGTTTGTGTCGAGTGGAGGTTAAACCCCATTTCTCTCTCTCTCTCCTCTATCCTTAAAGAATCATGTCGCACGCCATCTTTAACGATCTACACATCTCTTTCGATCTCTCATCATCGTATCTCGTCATCTTTAAAGAATCACTCGTCTCTCGCCACCTTTAAAGATTCATTTGTCTTCCGCCATCTTTAAAGAATCACACGTCTCTTACCATCTTTTATCATCTTTAAAGAATCACTGATCCCTCACCATCCTTAAAGAATCACCCATTCTTCATTTCTAAAGAATCGCCCATTTCTCACCAGGCTTAAAGAATCACTCGTCATTCGCCACCTTTAAAGATTCATTTGTCTTCCGCCATCTTTAAAGAATCATCCATCTTTCACCATCTTTAAAGAATCACCGATCCTTCTCCGATCCTTAAAGAATCATCCATCTCTCACCACGTTTAAAGAATCTACCGTCACTCGCCACCTTTAAAGATTCATTTGTCTTCCGCCATCTTTAAAAAAAATCATCCATCTTTCACCATCTTTAAAACATCACCGATCCCTCTCCGATCCTTAAAGAATCACCCATTTATCACCATCTTTAAAAATCATCCATCTTTCACCATCTTTAAAGCATCACCGATCCCTCTCCGATCCTTAAAGAATCACCCATTTATCACCATCTTTAAAAATCATCCATCTCTCACCATCTTTAATGAATCTACCGTCGCTCGCCATCTTTAAAGAATCACTCGGCCCCCACAATCTTCTCATCGAATTCACTTCAACAATCAATTCCTAAAACATATTTAACAGCAATAGAGATTCTAAATATGGTTTAAAGTAAATGCAAACAACTGGTTCAATATCTATAAAAAGATGGAATACCGATTAAAAATCAACAAATTACCTACATGACAAATTGCGGAGGTGTGTTCATCGGTTCAAGGCCAAGGGGGAAACAAAGTCAAGAATTATCCGAGAATTTGATAAAATCAGAAGCTCTAATACAATATTCTGCTCATTTATGTAGGAAAAAAAACATATATACATTGCGCGAGCAATATGTTAGTCCCGAAATGACCTGGTTTGTGTCGAATGGAAGTTAAACTCTCTCTTTCTCTCTCTCTCTCCCTCTCTCTTAAACACAAAACAGGTTATATTCTTATATTTCAACATTGACGCGATCAGTGGGTATCGCTTTCACTACACTACACAATTGATCAACTTTAAATAAAATCGAGGTAGTTTTATATATTTGTTCTCCATTCAAAGAGGTCTGGTCGTTTTAACTTTAACGGGTTATTTCGACAGTTATTACTTTTTGTCTAGAAGTATTCCGAAAAGAAAACAAAAAGACACCAATAAAAATGGGAACAGTCGAATCGACTTCAATTCAACATAGCCAGACTTATTTCCGGAGAGTATTGCTCGTAAAAGAACACGGGGACACGCTGAACGAATGTAATCCGTATCTATTAATAATCTTTCCCTTTTGCCCCTTATACATGTCAATTTTTGGTGGAGGATCGTGGCTTGAATGTACATTTTCTGTCAGGGTCTGGTGAATATTCATGATGTTTAGGAGGAAGGATAACAGAGTTAAGTGGTTGGTTACGTTTAAATGTCGGAGGAATAGTTGCGTATTTTAATTGTCGCATGGTGTGACAGCAGGTCAATGAGACAGCAGGTCAATGAGACGGGAATTAACATTAAATTCAATGGAGAAATTAATGTATACTGTCGCCAAAAACGAATGACGTCATTTTTTTTTCCCACACGTAATCGGAGACCCCAATTCAAGGGAGATAAATCGCATAACACTGCCAATATCTAATGGATGCAGACCACTTAATATTGTACCATTCTCCCAAAATGTTATTGGGTTTAAAGCTCTCCGCTCTAGACGGAGCTACTTCTGTCTATATCTTGCTCCAGTGATGGTAAATAGAAGGAATTAGATTCTTGGTTACCGAGATAAGGGAAGTAATTGGTGATCTCTTTCCCCGCGATATCAGCATGGATTGAAGTGGACATTAAGCCCATAGTATTGTCGGAACTATATTTTTCTAGGATTTAGTTGCATCATTTCTAGGCCAAGGACTCTGAAAACAATATTGGCATTTATAGAGAAACCTTCCACGTCACTATCGAGGTGAAAAGTTGAACATGTTCATTTTATTTAACAGGCACATCCATATGTAGTAGCGTACCGTCCGGGAGAAGTCGGATTGTCTTTGAGATTGCCACCCCCACCCATGCGAACAACACAATTCACACCATAATGTTGTGTCACGTGTCTTATCTCCTGCTACTGTTCCGACAGAAACAAAACAGCCCCTCCCTCCTCCTACCCACCACGATCCACCCCGCCCCGCCCCGCCCAGTTAGGTTGCTACTGGTTCGCATGAATGTCAAGGAAATTGACCATTGGGCAAAAAAAATATAAGTGACTATGTTGGTTGATTTCAACTAAGGAAAGGCTATTGACCGCTTTCTGTGTCAAAAATGTTATACTGCAACCGATTCAGATTCACAAAAATAGACTGCTAAAGCAAATATATTTATTTTATTGTATTTCGTTTCATTTGATTTTCCCTTTTAAGTCCGGTTTATGAATGAAAGGCAGCAGGAAAGTAGTTTCAGTCAGTGATTGATGTACAAATGATTTATATGATCGAGACTGTGTTTAATAGCCGTGATGATCCAGTGAAGCATGTTATTAGATTCGATAGTAAGTTATAGACAATATAAATCAAATATGGCAACTGTTATTCAATAATTCATTGCGCAAGATTGTGTTAAGAATAAGATTTGTGATAATTTGTGACTTATTTATTCTTAGTTTTGTGATGATAAAGGTGACCTTGGATTCTGTTCGCAACGCAAAAGCTGCTATTTCTTGTCATTGTAAATTAGGAAAATGCAAAGAAAACCGATTTCGTCTGGAACATCAGTCATGTTCGATTGTTGACACCGTAGTTTATGTCTATACGGGATTTGGGTTTATCGGCTTTTCAATAAACGAACTGAAATGGGGTTTAACGGTCTAGTCTTGTATCGATTTCCAACTGTCAAGGGTTCTTTTACGTGCATATACAGTGGGGTCACGGTGGCTAGGTGGGTAAGACGCTCCCTCGCTAGCCCGCAGTTCGGGTTTTGATCCCTGCATTGTCCGAGAAAGTTCATCCAGATTTTCCGGCGTGGTTCCCCATTGTCAGTGGTGCAGGACGGAGGGCCTGACAAGGACAGCTGTCTAGTCGTTCGGAAGTGACAAAAAGCCGAGGTCCCGTGTTCGCATTGGCGTGCACGTAAAAGATCCCTTGACAGTTGGAATTCGATATAAGAGTAGGCCGTAGTGCCGCTGTCCGGGCAAAATTTCCCTCATAGCACACTGTATGGCGTATGCCCGTCTTCATTAGCCCAGGTTAGGAGCAGAACAGTA